GTCTTGCTTGCAGTGAAAGTGGGGGCAGGAGAAGGGCCCAGTATGTGTCCACTCTGTTTTATACCCTCAGTCTATGTACTTGGGGAGCACAAGTCCAGGCATGTCTGGGGGGCACTGCTGAGTCTCTCCAAGCAAGGCTGAGCAATTGCCCTGGTGTTGCCTCATGCAGGTGAGTCATTGCATTGTAGCTCCCTTGCTGGATAATGGCTGTTGATGGGTTGTTTGACACCCCGCACGGGCCTTGGTTACTTTCCTTGCTGTTGCCTCTGGGGAGCTAATAACTGGCTGATTCCCCAACTTGCAGCATGTTTTAGTGACCACCATACAACACAATTCTCATAACTTCATATGCATTAATGATACACATATATGGATAGAGAAATGACTTTCAGCAGATCATAACCTTTCCCCTGATACCTTACAAAGCAGGTTTGGGCAAACTACAGCCTGCGGGCTGGATCCAGCCCATGGGATTGCCACCCCCGTGGCACTACGGGCCCTGTGCCACTCCCGGAAGTGGCCAGCACCACGTGCCTGCGGCCCCTGTGGGGGCAGAGGGCACCACACGCTGCCCTCACCTGTGGCTTCCACACCCAAAGCTCCCATTTGTCGCGGTTCCCTGTTCCTGACCAATGGGAGCTGCGGGAGGTGGTGCCTGCAGGTGAGGGCAGTGCACAGAGCCCTCTACCCCCTCCCTCGCCAGGGGCCGCAGGGACATGGTGCCGGCCGCTTCCAGGAGTGGTGCGGGGCCAGGGCAAGTAGGGAGCCTGCCTTAGTGGCACGGTGCTGCTGCCACCCTGGAGCCACTCCAGGTTATTGGCACTGGGCCAGAGTCCGCACCCCGAACCGTTCCTGCACCCCGCATCCCTACCCCCTGCCCTGAGCCCCATGCCATACCCCGCCTGCACCCAACCCTCTGCCCTGAGCCCCCTCCCACACTCCACACCCTTCCTGAGCCCCCTCGTATCCCCGCACCTCTCCTCCGCCCCAACCCCTTGCCTTGAGCCTCTTCCTGCACACCTCACCCCCCCACTCCCCGCACTCCCTCCTGCACCCCAACACCCTGCCCCAGACCTACATTCATGGCCCTACATGCAATTTCCCCCCCCAGATGTGGCCCTCGGGCCAAAAAGTTTGCCCACCTCTGTTACAAGGCATGCTTTATATGCAAGATCGCGATGATAAGAAAATGAGGAATATGGGGGTTACAGTACACTCCCCCAAAGTATTGAATGTTACACCCAGCCCCAGACTTTCCCCCAGAAATGTATATCTTGTACTGCCCAGCACCCTCCTGCACAACAGAAGTTCATATAAAGTCAGGCATTAATTAATAGAAAATGATATGCACAAATATTGTTATCTCAAAGGCAGTTTCCCAAACACTTCAAGCCAAACACATTGGTATAGATAACACAATGAACTAAATTTATTAACTACAGAAAGATCTATTTTAAGTGAGTACAAGTAATGAGGCATATAAGTCAGAATAGGTTACAAGGAAACAAAAGGTAAAATGCAACTAACACCTAACTTAACAAGCTAAGTGAATACAAACCAAAGGTCTCTCACCAAATATTCCAGCAGTCTTAGTGGCTGAACCTGTTTCATTCAGGATCTCCCGTGTGCCACCTTCCCCCACAGTCCAATGCTGCTTCCTTTGTTCTTCGGGGGTTGATTATGCCGTGGGTAGACAGCAAGGGAGAAATCATTTGGGGCATCTGCCCTCTCCACATCTAGCCCTTTCTCCTGTGCAAGAATCCTCTCCAAATGATGTTCAGAAGACAGAAAATCTGTGGGCAGGTACCTTATGTTGCTTTGTCAAAACATAGATATTTTGCCCACACCTTCTCTTTTGCCGAAGAGTGGCCACTTAATCAGATGGTGGTCCATTTGACACCTAGTTGAGGTGTTGACTAGCCTTTCCTCTCTGGGGAACTTGTTTGTGACTGTCCTCCAGAACATGTTGGAATGTGCCTTGGTAATATTATACAGTGGAATCTTGTATCGTTACATACAATGTTGCCACACATATTTTACAAGGACAATTCATGAATTTACACAGTATGCTTTGTAAAATGGGTGAACATAGTACAGACTATCACACCCAAGTGTAGTTTCAGGAAGAATATAGATATATTGTCTGATTTAAATAAATGCTAACACAACTTTAAATAAAAGCTAACTTTAACTTTAGTTAAAAACTTAGGGTGAGGATGCAGGGCTACCTTATCCTTACAGAATACTGTAAAAGGAGGATCTGACTGTATCTCAAAGACACCATCCTGGCCAATCTAATGGCTATGAGGAAACCAACCTTTTGACGTAATGGAGTCCAAGAGAAAGTAGCCAAGGGCTCAAATGGCGGGTTCATAAGCACCACATAGACAACAGCTGAGGTCCTAACGTGGCACCAAATTCTTAATACGTGGGAAAGCTTGAGAAAGCTAACAACTACGTCTGTCAAACGATTAAAAAAAATTGCAATTAATCATGAGATTAAAAAAAAATCATGATTAATCACAGTTTTAATCACACTGTTAAACAATAACAGAATACCAATTTAAATTTATTATAAATACTTTGGATGTTTTTCTAGATTTTCAAATATACTGATTTCAATTACCACACAGAATACAAAGTGTACAGTGTTCACTTTATATATGCACCGTAAAAAAAGATAAAAGAAATAGTATTTTTCAATTCACTTCTTACAAGTACTGTAGTGCAATCTCTTTATAGTGAAAGTGCAACTTACAGACTTAGAATTATTTTTTTTACATAACTGTACTCAAAAACAAAACAATGTAAAACAGTGGTCCCCAAACTTTTCATGGTCATGCCTTCCCCTTACCTCTGTCTGTGCTCCCCCCCCCCAGGAGCTGGGGCTGAGAGCAGGGGCGCAGACAGGTGTAAGGCTGGGGCCACAGATGGGGGTGGGGTGGGACCAGGAGTGGAGCCGGGGCTGAGGGTGGGGTTGCAGCTGGGGGCCGAGGCTGGAGGTGGGGCTGGGAGCAGAAGCTGCAGCCGGGCCGCAGTCAGGGGCCAACACTGAGGGCAGGGCTAGGGACGGGAGCTGGGGTCGTGGCTGGGAGTGGGGCTGGGTGGCGCTCTCTCCCCGACACTATGGGAGCTGGCCTGGATCCCACCGCACCCCCCTGAATGTTCCTCCGTGCCCCCTAGGGGGGCATGCCCCACAGTTTGGAGACCTCTGATGTAAAACTTTGGAGCCTACAAGTCCACTATGTCTTACTTCTTGTTCAGCCAAAGAAGGTACCAATATGAGATTTCTAAAGATAGCTACAGCACTCGATCCAAGGTTTAAGAATCTGAAGTGCCTTCCAAAATCTCTGAGGGATGAGCTGTGGAACGTGCTGTCAGAAGTCTTAAAAGAGCAACACTCTGATGCGGAAACTACAGAAACCGATTCACCAAAAAAGAAAATCAATATTTTGTTGGTGGCATCTGACTCAGATGATGAAAATGAAGATGCATTGGACTGCACTGCTTTGGATTGTTATCATGGAGAACCCATCATCAGCATAGAGCCATGTCCTCTGGAATGATGGTCAAAGCATGAAGGGGCATATGAATATTTAGCATATCTGGCATGTAAATACCTTAGAATGCCAGCTACAACACTGACATGGAATCATAGGGACCTCAAGAGGTCATCTAGTCCAGTCCCCTGCACTCAAGGCAGGACTAAGTATTATCTAAACCATCCCTGACAGGTGTTTGTCTAACCTGCTCTTAAAACATCTCCATGTTCCACAACCTCCCTAGGCAATTTATTCCAGTGCTTAACCACCCTGATGGTTACCAAGTTTTTCCTAATGTCCAACCTAAACTGCCCTTGCTGCAATTTAAGCCCATTGCTTCTTGTACTATCCTCAGAGGTTAACGAGAAACATTTTTCTCCCTCCTCCTTGTAACAACTGTTTATATACTTGGAAATTGTTACCATCTCCCCTCAGTCTTCTCTTCTCCAGACTGAACAAACCCATTTTTTTTCCATCTTCCCTCATAGGTCATGTTTTCTAGACCTTTAATCATTTTTGTTGCTCTTCTCTGGACTTTCTCCAATTTGTCCACAGCTTTCCTGAAATGTGGCACCCAGAACTGGACACAATACTCCAGTTGAGGCCTAATCAGTGTGGAGCAGAGCAGAATTACTTCTTGTGTCTTGCTTACAACACTCCTGCTAATACATCCCAGAATGATATTTGCTTTTTTTGCAACAGTGTTACACTGTTGATTCATATTTAGCTTATGATCCACTATGACCCCCAGATCCCTTTCTGCAGTACTCCTTCCTAGGCAGTCATTTCCCATTTTGTATGTGTACAACTGATTGCTCCTTCCTAAGTGGAGTATTTTGCATTTGTCCTTATTGAATTTCTTCCTGTTTACTTCAGACTATTTCTTCAGTTTGTCCAGATTATTTTGAATTTTAATCCTATACTCCAAAGCACTTGCAACCCCTCCCAGCTTGGTATCGTCAACAGACTTTATAAGTGTACTCTCTATGCCATTGTCTAAATCATTGATATTGAATAGAACTGGACCCAGAACTGATCCCTGTGGGTCTCCTCTTGATATGCCCTCCCATCTTGACTATGAACCACTGGTAACTATTCTCTGGGAATGGTTGTTTGTCTTAGCGATTGGCTGAACAAGAAGTAGGACTGAATGGACTTGTATGCTTTAAAGTTTTACATTATTTTGTTTTTCAGTGCAGTTATTAAAATTTTTTTACATTAATAAGTTGCACTTTCACAATAAAGAGATTTCACTACAGTACTTGTATGAGGTGAATTGAAAAAAAATGAATTCAGTTTATCTTCTTTACAGTGAAAATATTTGTCATAAAAATATAAAGTTATCACTGTACACTTTGTATTCTGTGCTGTAATTGAAATAAATATATTTGAAAATCTAGAAATACATCCAAATATATATAATACATTTATTTTGGCATTCCATTATTGTTTATCAGTGCAATTAAAACTAAACTATTTTTTAATCTAGTTAATTTGTTTTGCATTAATCGCTTGCGTTAACTGCGGTTAATTGATAGCCTTGCTAGCAACCATGGGGTTGGAAGATACCAATCTACTATCCATCCCCCCATAGAAGGGAGTGATTGCTGCAAAGTGAATCTTTAGAGAACTCACTGAAAGGCCTGAGGACTTGAAATGTAAGAGGTAGTCTAAAATGTCCTGGATTCTTGCTTAAACAGGTTGTATCCCCCCAGGCAATGGACCAAGCAGAGAACCTTTTCTAGTTGGCTAGTAAGCAGACATAATTGATTGTTTCCTACTGTTGGACAGAATCTCTTGAACCACCAGGGAATACTCCCACACTTTATCTAGACACTCAACAGCCATTCCGAGAGGTGGAGACTGATGGGTCTGGATGTAGCATTTGACCGTGTTCCTGTGATAGAAGGTCTGGGAGGAGAGGGAGAGAAAGAGGAGGTTGAACTAAGAGAGAGAGAAGATTCAAAAACCAGTACTCCCTTGGCCAGACCAGGGCCATCAGGATTAATCTGGTATGGTCTCGCTTCAATTTGTGGATGATCTGTGGGATGAGAGGGATCAGGGAAAGGTGTGCACTAAATCCCCAGTTCTCTTCTATGTGAAGGCATCAGTGAGGAAGCCTGGACTATGGGAGGCCTGAGAACAAAACTGATGACACTCTTGTTGTCTTTTGTAGCAAACAGGTTGACTGAAGATCCCATATGTGAAAGGTGGGCCTCACTGTCAGATCTATGGAATTTTTCCATTCCTTTCTCCTTTCATTTAGTCAGTGAGTGGAGCAGCTCTGAAAAACAAGTAAAAAAGGTTTTCCCTATAGCACGTTCAATTGTTGTAGTGCTAGAATTAGATGACCTTTTCTGGGGCCTCTGTCTCCTTTAGGAGAGACATACTGTGTCTGGGAAGTTAGAAAAGTTGTCTGTGACAGTGATCAGAATATTGCTGTGGGGGCTTATACTGATCTTTCTTAGAGGCTGGAGGATAAATTTTCAGAGAGCAGAGAGCTGTTTGTGAATCTTTAAAAGAGTGAAACACCTCATCTCTCTACTTTGAAAATAAAAACTGTCCATTAAAAGATAGATCATCAATAGATTATTGGATATCTGATGCTATTCCAGAATTAAATAACCATGGTGCACTCCTCATGATGATTGCAGAGGCCATTGCTCTGGAGGTCTCATTAACTGCCATGACAACTAAGGAGTTTGGTTCAAACAGAAACACTCAAACCCTAGGAAAGGACACTGTATCATTTTTCCATTCGCTTGGCTGTTGGGGCTAGCGATGCCAGTGTGTGCCACATAGATTTGGCCAGCTGTAATAGGGCATCATTAATAGGGAAGGCAACCCTTCTAGGGCTGGAGCCTGGAGGATGGCCACCAATTTGTACCAGCTCAGCTTGAATACTCAGAGTTGCAACCATTCTCTTGAGAAATTCCTGGTAGGACATGAACTGAAGAATCTGAAGTCAGGGCCACTGAATCGTACATGGATGGTGATGACGGGGCTGCTGGAGCTGAAGATACTTTGAGGTACATGCTGGTTCTCAGGGAAACTGTTAGCCACAGAGAATAATCCAGAAGGAATGTCATCCTGAGCTTCCACAATAGGCTGGACTGTGGCTTGGGCCATCTCCAGATAAGGGCATCTTACATCCAACTTATGTGGAGATCTGGCTCTATGGCAAAGAGGTGTTCCAGGGGGCCACTGCAACACAAGGCACAGCATAATAGGTCAATGTATCACAGGCCAGGCAGGTCTGTCCCTACTACAGGAATGGCTCTGCTCTTGGTATCAACACTTACTTCCTGCGTGTTTGGGTGATGTATGTGATCTCTTTAGCTGAGGTGGGGCAGGAAAAGAGGTGGAGGACTCTGACCCAGAGTGAGAAGAGCTGTTTGAATAATCAATAGGGATGGGGGGGGGGGGGTCACCCAACCTGGTGGCATCACTGGAAAACCCCAGTTGTCCACTCTCCAATATGGAAAAGTTAATGTTGGTACTGTGGTTGGCATTGTATTTGGTCCTGAGAGGAAACTGCAGGAGGTAGATAGTCTTACAATTGGGTCCAGTACAAAGGATGGGTCCTTTTTTGGTGTTATGGGGTCAGGATTTGGTCCCCAGTCAGAGGAAGCTACCGGTACTGAGGACTCTGGTAGCAAGGTTGATGTTGTAGATGGCGCTGAGGGCAGGGGATGTCTTGGTATTGACCTAGCCTGCATAAGCACCATATGCAGAACCTGCCTCTTCATCAGTACCTGAACTGAAGGCAATCTCTATCCCAGAAATGAAGAAGACAGAGTTTGGGGTACCATCCCTGCACTGACATCCAAAGGTAGTGGGCATAATGGTACAGATAGACAAAGGAAACCTGAGGATGCTGGAGTTTCCACAGGTACTGGACTCGGTGGCCACCCTGTAGATGGTTCCAGAGTCAACACTACAGCACAAGGATCCTCCCGTCTCGGTACTGGGGAGACACAGGTTGGCATCTCTAGGTACCAGAGTTTTGCTGACAGTGATCCCCTGCTTTTGATGAAAAGGAGGACTAATCCTTCCTTGATTTCTGGCAGCACCAGTCCATTTTATGGATCCTCATTTGAGGGACATGCAGGAATGATGAACAATCCCTTTCCTGCCTCTATCACTGATCAGACTGTTGGGACTGTCCCCAACTCCTGCAGAGGTAGAGGATCCTCCTGAAGATGATGTCTAGGGATAGTTAATTGAGCAGTTGGAAGAGGATCCCACTGCTGAGGCAGTCTCACAGCCTGTTCTAGCAGGTGTTGCTTTAAAAGAAGGTTTCTTGCAACCTGTGTCCTTTCCTTATAGGAATGACAGCTACTGCACTTTGCCTTTATGTGTCCCTTTCCAAGGCACACCAAGCAGCACATGTGTGGGTTACTGTTAGGATCAGAGACCTCACATGCCGGGCAATGCTTGAAGCCCAGGGAATGGTGCATAACATTCAGTGCCGCACACCAAAAACTAACTATACAACTAAATATACTAATAAACTAACTAACTCTAACTTAAACTATTGGTGCTAACTGCAAGTAACTATTTACACTACTGAAGACTGAGTCACAAACTGTGATGCAGCAGGGAAATTGTGAGGAGAATCCAACACAGGGAGCTCCAACTCAAGATACAGGTGGTAAGAAGGAACTGAGTGGAGTCAGGGTGCTGCCACCCTTATATAGCCTCAGGAAGGGCTATGAGAAGGTACAGATGTGGCAAAAAAGTCTCCAGCTTGCAGTGCGCAAGACACCAACACACCAGTGTGGAATACACATCTGCACAAACTTGAAGAACCAGTGATATTGTTGGTGCCACTAGGTATAGCTACCAGGTAACTCGGGGGGGTGGAAGGCCATAAGTGCCAATGAAACCCCCCTGCTCTGGGTCTAAGTGAGCCACAGTAACTCCATCTTGTGAACTTTAACCAGCCTCCATGCAAACAGCCTAAATGCTGAAGCAGAACATGTAACAGTCAGCTTTTTTGCAGACAGCTGCAGTTTCGCTCACACTAGCAGAAGCAGTAGTGATAAGGAAGGGGGGGGGGAAGGGGGAAGTCTTCTACGTCTGAACTTGCAAGGCCAAAGATAAACATGCGGACGAGAACTTTTCTAACACGCCACAATGTAGTGCCTGCTGTAACTGCTGTTGGGAAGGGAGGGGTAGGGGGGAAATAGAACAAAGGCTTACTCAAACAGCTTGGAATATAAAATGGGAAACTTGCTTGTATTTGTTGCGCTTCTGATTTGAGACATGCTGGTCTCCTGAGTGCCTTTTCAAGATCTCGAATAAACTTGGTTTGCTTCTCCACCCTGGTGTGTCTATTGGTGCGATGCACACCGGGCAACGAACCCCTGTTGCCCCCTCGGGCCCTCTGGGCCGGCAACAGTATCATACTTTCCGATCACTTTGCACTCCCAGTTAAATACACGGAAGTCAAATGAGGCATTAAATCTTAGAAAACGATCCCGACAATGGAACCAAACTTTTTTAAAAACTGTTTTGTTCCTTCTATATGCCTTTCCACTTTCTGGTTGAATCTGTCAAACACAGCACCTACTCAGAAGGAAACAAAATTTTAAAAAGTTTTTATTAACCACCTGCCAAAATCCAAAAATGACAAACAGTACAGCAAAGTTGCTTTAGAGGGAAGGAGATGGTGAGGGAGGTTAATTTCCGTGTGGGTAGGCAAAGGCTGCTTTGTTGGTCTGAAATGGGAGGCAGGTAAACACAAATTATGTTGGAATTAAGATAAGGCTTTAAAGAAGGCAATACAGCTAAGCTTTGTTTGTCTTCAAAGCAGCACTTAAGATCTAAAAAGTGTCCAGGCAGATTTAGAATATTTAAAAGGCAACTTCCAAAGAAAACAAAAACAACCCTCCTCCCCTGACCCCACCCAAAAAAGAGAAACTGAGCTTGTGCCTTTCCTTAGGATTTATATAAAGAAAAAAATTGTTAAAACACTTTCTGCTTGTTTTTTACATTAAAGATTCAGGACTTTTCTACTGTAAAAGACTATGGAGACTGGAGAAGTAGGAATATCACAAGAGAAAGGAGACTGAAAGCTGAGCAATTGGGAAGAGAAGGGATTTTTAAATCACTATTTAAAACTCCATTTACTTTTAGTCCGTATTTAAAACCCAGCAATTAAGTCTCTGTTTAAGATTCAACAGCCACACTTTTTCAGTTAAGGTACTGGAACTCTCATGAATGTTTACTGTGAGCTCACAGAGGTCCTTCAGCAAATCTAGGAAAGGAGAACAGACTTGACATTATTAAGATAAAAAACAAGTATTCAAAAATCCAGTTCTCTTTGGAAAACAGATGTCATCCATACACTTATCATAAAGTAAAAACATTTTTGAAAAATTCTCTATAGTTCTTAGGAGGTGAGGTTTGTTATTTTAGGCAAGCCAGAAAACAGTGCTACCCAAAACTGCTAAAAGTGTCAGTTAAAGACCCTAAACCTCCTAAAACAGAAATAGATACCAAATGTAAACTTTAAAAGTCATTAGAATGTCAGCGGGGACTGGAAAAAAATTAAGGCATATCCTTTACCAGTAACACTAATATTTCTCATATGAAAAATAAAAAGCGGAACAAAGAGTATAATGGAAAAAATAAGGAAAGTAGAACATGTCATGGAAGTGGGTGAGAAGCCAGCCACTGAAAAGTACCTGAGAGCGTTATTAATCTGGAGGAAGAAGTAAATCTTAACCCATTATTTGCCAAAGTTACTGCTACTGTCATAAGTAGTGCATGTAGTGTTAACAGTGTTCTATTGTTTGTGCCTGCACAGATGTGCGGGGGCTGAGGATAGCTCTCACCACTACTGCTTGTTCAGTGGCTAGGCATAATACTGAGTACAAAGACTACATTTAGTGACACTACTAGCACTAGATTATCCGGGGGGGGGGGGTGAGGCAAGTCAATCCTGTGTTTGTGTGGGGGTAGATAGTGCACAAGCACCCACTGATATGGTGCAATATGAGATCTTGGAGGTATTGTGCCTGGCTGAGGCAGAAACAGCAACAGGTAGAGGCAGGATAAGAAGCAATACAGACACCACTGTAGTTCCAATGATGAAGATATGATCTTATTAAGGCAGTTATTACACTATGCTCCAAATAGGAACAGGATGGCTGACTCTTCTGTCACTATGGCCTCATCCATCAGTTGTATTTTATATGTTAGGAAACCAACAAAAGTGACACTGAAAATGTTAAAAGAAAACCTTTAGCCTAACTTGTTGGGAGTTGTTTGTGAACTGAATATTTTCAGAATAGCAACCACCATCATTCAAAGTCAGCCAACTCCATGATGCACACCTCAGAGCACAAATGGAATCACAATCTTCCTGGACTTTGGGTAATCTTCAAATTTCTCAAGATACCATCTGAAAAAACAAGCCACTTGAATTAGTATTCATCGTCAAAATACTACAAAAGAGACTAAATTATTGTAGGAAACTGCCAGAGAAACATTTATAGCAATATAAATATAAGTAGATTAATCTACAAAGGAACATCTCCAGGCTTCACTTCATGTGCAGAACTCCTATTTTAAAATGATCACACCCATCCTCATGAGATCAGAGTGCTGACTACAAAAATTAAATCAAACCTATGGTTGCCAACAATGGTGAAATCAAATTAATGAGAGTGGTGTGTGTGGAGCAAGGGCAAGTGGGTGGCCCAACATCTTAACAAGTAGATAATGTACCACAGCAAGTGCCCAGATTCCATTACAAGATGGATACATTGGGATGATGAAAGTGAAGTGGGTAGATTTTAGAGCAGCTACAAGAAACGACATGAGGAAAGTTAGTCTTCTGTTAGACTTAAAGGTGCCACAGGACCCTCTGTTGCTTTTGACATGAGGAAAGACTGACAGGTTGGAACAATAGTACCTTCTATATGAACTCTCATAAGAATTTAGATATACCAATTCAGATTGCTTGTGAGAAACAAAACAAATCATGAGGCTTAATCATCTCCAAACCTGGAAAAAGACCCAGGCTTATTTTGGTATATTGTAAACAGGGCTTTGGAGCTGTGCTCCGGCTCTGCTCCAGCTCTAGGCAAAAACCTGCAGCTCCACTGCTCCGAGCTCCGCTCCAAAGCCCTGATTGTAAAAGATTTGTCAGCTCTCACATTACTACATCCTCAAAAGGGACACCATCAACTTCAAAACAAGACCATTTTAAAAAATGAGTTAAGTGTTTTGAGTTACTACACCTGTCCTGGGGTCCTTGTTTTACAAACACATTTTCCTGTTTTAAAAATATTTTTCTGCCCCTTCTTGCTGTGTGAAAGACTCACACATCCTGGGGAAATGGGATCTGATTTAATCTGGTCTCCTCACAGGTGCAGGTGTTCATATTACCAGATCCAACAGCAGGATCAGGGTCTAAATAATTATTATGGGGAAACATTAAAACTGATTACACACAAAAGACTGTCAAGTGCACAAAATAAATAATTTGGCATAATTTTTCTCCACTCTTTCATTTAGGTTCCCCCCCCACATCCCCTCCTTCTTGTCTTCTTTTCCCCCTTCCCCCCCCCCTCCTTCTCAACCTTTTCTACCTTTCACCAGGCTCCCTGTGCAAAAAGTTTGCAAAAGGGAACTGGCAAGGATTATTCAGTTTTCTTCTTCTTTGAAGGCATTGGTAAAAGCTTGATGTAGGATGAAACTGGAAAAATCCTAGGCAATTTGCCTTGGCAAACTATTTGTACCTGATTGTGTTTATATTGAGCTTTAGAAACTCTAGCCACAATTGATCTCACATCACTGCAGCTCGACAGTGCTAGCACCTTATGAAAGTGCTAGTGTAGAGCAGTGGTAGCAAGGTGGATTTGATTTAGTCAGGAAGACTCGATTTAATCATGGATTTCTACATAAAAATGCATTCTTGTTGGTTGTTATAACCTTAATACATATCTTCACAACTCAGAGATAGATGAAGGTTTAATTTTTAGAAGGTACACACTAGACATTTTTAAAGTGATTTATTTTGAAAACTTTTCAGATTAGTTTTACAGCTATATCAGAAAATGAATGATTGTTTGGTTATTTCATTTACCAAAGGTAATTGAAAGGACAGTTACCTGTTCCGTAACTGGCGTTCTTCGAGTGATTGCTCCTGTGTATTCCACAGTAGGTGTACGTGCTCACCACGTTTTTCCCTTAGCAGCATCCATAGTGGGGGAGCACCGCTGCGACCTCCTGGAGTGGCGCCGACATATCGCGCCATAAAGGGGGCTGCATACTCCCCCCACCCTCAGTTCCTTCTTGCCGCCAGTGAAGATAGTCGGAACTTGTGCTCCAGCTTTGCTGCAGCAATTCTAGCCTTAGTAGTATCCAGCTTTCCCTGAAGTTACTTGTTGAACTTTTCTCTGTTAGTGCTGGGCTCGGGGCATGACCCGTGGCCCAGGCTTCAAGTCGTGTGACTCTTGTCGCAATCCTATGCCCAGAAGCGATCCACATACTCAGTGTCTTTGCTGTCTGGGCGAGGCTCACATTAGTGAGAAGTGTACAATTTACCGCTCCTTCAAGCCCCGAACAAAGAGGGAGCATGAGATCCAACTCCGAGCTCTCCTAATGGAGTCGGTGTTGACCCCAGCACCGGCGCGTTGAGCCAACCCCGCGCCGGGCACCTCGTCCTTGGCGCTCAGCGAAGCGCCCCCGGCGCGCCGTCCTGATTCTGCGCCCGGTACCGCATCGTCGGTGCGCAGCGAGGCCCCGTCGACGAGTCGGCACCGCTCCCCTTCTAAGAAGCAAGGGAAGACTCAGCGGCGCCGGGAGAAAGATCGGGGGGAGGCTAGACCCGCGTTGGGCAGCCCACGATCCCCATCGGGACCGAGACCTCCGACTCGGGTAGAGCGGAGTAGTCCGGTGCCGTCCACGCGCGCCTCGCCAGAGGTGAGAATGCCTTCGACGCCGGAGGCAGCTCAGGCTGCGTGCGACATCATGACGCTTCCGGTACCGGGGGCGCCGCTCCAGTCGGGTCCCCGATCCCGTGGGAAGCCTTCGCTCAGTGCCCATCGACCCTCTCTGGACGTCTCCGAGGTCGAGATACCGTCCCACGTTGAAGGGCTGAGCCGTGGACCTCGGCGCGCCTCCATGCCACGAGCAGGATCGTCTGCAAGCGAGCTTTCCAACTCCACTCCGGGAAACCGTAGGGGAGGCACTAAGAGACGGCGCCACTCCTCTTCGAGTCTTGACCGCAGGGACAGGTCTCGTTGGCGGCGGCACTGCCGTTACCGCTCCAGCACCCGCCGTGAAAGGCGCTATGCCCAGAGCTCGTCACAGGACTCTCACGCACTGAGGCGTCGTAGTCTTGGGCGCCGAAGGCACAACGGAGACAGCACCCCCGACTCCTACCTGTCCTCCTCCAGGGGCTGGAGACGTCATGTTCAGGACCGCTCCAGCCATTCGCACGGCACCGTCCGCTCATCCCGGACTTCGGCTTCGGCACGCAGCCGCCCCTTGTTGAGCTGCTTGGTGCTGCAGGACCAGCCGGCCCTTCCGGGCTACCTCGCGTCCCAGGGCCAGGCCATTCCCTGGCAGAGACAGTAGTGCCAGTGGGCACCGTGGCCCCAGGCACCGGCACTGCTGGGACCCCGCTCTGTGGCAGGAGCGTCCCAGGCCTAGCCGACGTTGCCGCCTCAGCACCGCGAAGGGGCAGTGGGCACCGACCCTCTGGCACCGACTCGGGCCCTGGGTCAGGACGTCGAGCTTGCAGTACAGCCCGGATGCAGACGACACCGCGGCACCGACCTCCTCGGCGCTGGACAATTCCGTGGCGCCACCACCTCTGGTCTCTCAGGAGGATTTCAAGGCCCACCAGGAGCTACTCAGGAGGGTGGCATCGAACCTCCAGCTCCAGGCCGAGGAGATGGAGGAGCCGCCGGACACATTGTTTAATGTCCTTACCTCTTCAACGCCGGGGCGTGGCCCTCTCGTTCCATCAGGGGGTGGCCAATATTAGTACTGACCTCTGGCAAACCCCGGCATCTCTCTGCCCGATCTCCAAAAAGGCCGAACGGAAGTACTTTGTGCCCACAAAGGTGCACGAGTACTTATACTCCCACCCAACTCCGAACTCTCTAGTGGTGGAGTCGGTGAACCACCGAGAGAGGCACGGCCAACCCGCTCCTACCCCTAAGGACAAAGACGCTCGCAGGCTGGATTCCTTTGGGAGAAAAGTGTATTCATCTGCGAGTTTTCAGCTCCGAGTGGCCAACCACCAGGCACTCTTGAGCAGATATGATTTTAACCTGTGGGGGTCCCTTGCCAAGTTTGAGCCCTCCCTCCTCGAGAAGGACAGGAAGGAGTTCCGGGCCCTTATGGATGAGGATGAGGTGGCGGCTAAAGCGGCGCTCCAGGCGGCCTCCGATGCGGCGGACACGGCCGCTTGTTCGATGGCTGCGGCGATCTCCATGAGAAGGGCATCCTGGCTTTCGCTCTCTGGCCTATCGGCTGAGTCCCAGTCGATCATGCAGGACCTGCTGTTCAATGGTCGGGCCCTGTTTGCAGATCAAACAGATACGCGTCTGCATGGGATGAATGACTCCCGTACTACCCTGCAGACGCTGGGCCTGTACGTCCCGCCGGCCAAGGACAAGCCCAGGCCTCACACCTCCGCTCCACAGGCTCGGGGTAGATATGAGCCCCCGCCTAAGAAGCAGCGAGAGCAGAGGCGCCGGTCACAATGCCAATCCCGCTCGGTCCCTCGTCCGGAGCCCTCTAAGGCCAGGAGGCCAGGGAAGCGGCGTTTTTGACTGCTTGCGGGGGGTCACCGGGCCTATTGCCAGGTTAACCCCCCCCCCAGTTAATAAAGTTCAGGTTTGCAAATCGTTTACCTGCCTTCCGTTTGCAATGGTCCCGTATTACTACAGACCGCTGGGTCCTCAACACTGTATCCCTGGGGTACAGGTTGCAATTTGTTTCGCCCCCTCCCAATTGCCCTCCAGCCAGGGAATCGACAGAGGACCTGGAACATGTGCTCCTCCTGGGTCAGGAGGTACAGCGCCTCCTCTCCCTGGGAGCTGTGGAGAGGGTACCTTGGGAATTCCGGGGCAAGGGATTCTATTCCAGGTATTTCCTCATCCCGAAGGTGAAGGGCGGGCTTCGGCCCATCCTTGATCTGCGGAAGCTCAACCAGTTCTTGGTACGCTGCAAATTCCGCATGGTGTCCCTAGCCTCTATTATTCCCTCCCTAGACCCGGGGGATTGGTTTGCAGCTCTGGACCTTCAGGATGCCTACTTCCACATCCACATTTTGGAAGGTCACAGGTGCTTCCTCCATTTCCTGGTGGGTCAGGACCACTACCAGTTTACGGTCCTCCCCTTTGGCCTCTCGACGGGCCCCAGGGTTTTTAACCAAATGTA